TAATGTCATTGCCTCCGTTAAGCAGCAGTGGTTGTTCTGGGCAGCTTGCAGGCTTGAATGTTTACAGCTGATAGAGTGAGGCCTTTCTGACGAGCCTTCAGGCTTACTAGACCTTGGTTTAAAAAATCAATAAAGAAGAAAGCCCTTAAATTCTTTCTATTCCTGGCATGTCTTGATCCGAATGGCTCAACCAACAACAGTTTGTGTTCATGCATACAAAATAACTTGAGTCACTGTCATGACATTCTTGTTAACACATAACTTCCGCAGTTATCAGTATCTGATGCATGTCTGCGTGAAATGTCATTCTTCATACCCCCACATACAGCTAAAACTGTTTTTTTAATGGAAAGAAAATGAAGCTGCCATTAAAATGTCAATAACATATCTTCATCTTATTGCTGTGATATATTTTGTTGTTAATTCTGTTATATTGATCTTTTCTTAATAATAGTCTTGTCGATTAAATCATCACAGCCAAAAAAAGTTTCCTTCCAACTCACTGCTGAGTTGATCAAACTGTTGGCAACAAATACTTTTTTCTCACGGTTGATGGAAGACACTGTAAACTGAATGAAATGTCAAGGTACTAACAGTCAGGTTTAAATGTGGCCCTTTGACTGTAACGCCATCAAACATCCTCAAAAAGAGATTGTCAGGAAGTAAGGTTCTTGGGATTTCACCCAGGTACTGGGAAAAATTGGAAAAGTGACATTCAGTGAAATAAATTCTCAGCTGACTCAAAAAAAAAAGCAGGAAGACATTTTAAAGGTCAAACTAAGGGTTCTTGTGATGAGACGTCGTATCTAGGGAGTTTGAGCACTCGCATGTTGTGAATTGGATCATACTTGAGCAGTTGTACTCAAGAAAAATGTAGTTTTATTAACTTCCTAAAGACGGAATCTAATTATTCTTGTTTTATTTTCTACACTTTTTGGTCCCAATGTCACTAAAACCAGCACAGGACAGTTAACATACCACCTGCAGCTCACACCATGTCAACCTGACCATATGTGGGTTTTAAATTACTAGGCTTCCTGTTAGCCTTCAATCACATCATCTAAGTCCAGAAGACCTTAACAACTGTTATTGTCCTCAATACAAAGACAAACCTAGTGATTTACCAAGGAAGAAGACAGCTTCAGTTTATTTCTAAGTGCTGGTGTATGCATGTTGAGCGCCGAGGGGCATCAAACATGTGGCTTCTTAATGATCTCAGACTTTGTGTTAGCTATAAGAAAAGGCTGGCCTGTCACTTCACCCGTAAAGGTCAGTTCTGTTTTCTCCACCTGGGGTTGCTTAACATGTTTTTTTTTTTTTTTTTAATATATAAATCAACCAAGAGTTGATAGCCAAACACAGAAACAACTGGTAATAATCAAAAGCAGACCGCCGAGAGGCTGTAACTCCAATCCAGATAGGAAGGATGTGAGTGGAACAATGAGAGTCTTAAATCAAGGTGAGTGCTTTGATCATTTCATCAGTAACTCAATCAGACCACACACTCACACACACACACACTTAAAACTAGTTCCAATTTTAATCCTTCATTTAAGTAAGAGTTAAAAATGTCGTCAAATACACTAATTTGCTCTTCTTCCAAGAGTTAGATGAACAAAACCACTTTTGTAAGCTAATCGGAAAGCCAGTTAGCTTAGCTTTAAGACTTGATACAAGGGAAAACATAGCCTGGCTCTGTCCAAAGGCCTCTAAATCTGCCTTTAAAAACCTCTAAAGATAATTACTTAAAGTGGACCTATCATGCTATATTTGAATAATATAATGTAGGACCATACCTATATAAGGCATATTTATACTTTTTTTTTTCAAAATACCAAACAGATCATGCATTTTAGCCATGCCTCATTTTGCTCAATTTGCACTATTTTACCCCTGTTTTTGCAAGGGCTGATTCTGTGAGAACAGCACCACCTACTGGCCTGGCATATGTACTACAGCGTCTCCAGCGCTTTCGAACGGCAATGGCCGTGGCTGTCTCCTCCTGATTGGTGGAGTTGGCCCAATAGCCGTAGCGCCACCGTCCTGACGTCAGGACAGTGTTCAAATCTGGATCAGTTTTTATCAGATCCGTTGCAGCCCCTTTTTTAGAGATTTGGGTATGGAGGAAAATAGAGGGTTGTGTTTTCTGACACTTGTGGCGCGTTTCCACTACAGCCCGCAGCCCGGTTTAAGAGGGCTGTGACGTCAGCGGCCCGTCTTTGGTTGCGTTTCCACTTGGCCTAGTACCGGCCGGCGGGTCCTAATTCACAGTTTTTCTGGCCTCATAAAATCGTGGGTCCAGGGCCAGAGACAACGAGGCTGAGTCGGGCTGAGTATGCTAAACTAGAGAGAGCGTCGCTGGCAAGGGGGCAACAACTACAACAAGATGGACATATTTGACCGTGATTTAATTGTAATACACGTTTCAAAATGATGCCGAAGTAACAACATACTGATACCGGTTAGTAAAAACCATGAATTAATGCTTTGTCAAGTCTGCAGACAGACGGCAGGGGAAAAACTTTTTAAAATGCGTGTTTTCTAAATGGAGATTGGCTAAACTAACGCAGTATATGCTCCGACTGTCCACACTCACAACAACGGCCTATACAGACATAAATAAAGCAGCGACTGTATTCACCATGACACAGGCAGTCTGTGGTTTGTACTTGTTTAACTTTTGTCTAGTTTCTGAACATATATGAGGAGTTGTGAGCTCTGAGTGCTAACAGCTAACGGCTGTGTTGTTTTTCTGGGGTCCTCTGAAGATCACGTCACGGCTCCGCCTACACTGCGTTACTATAGATACTGCCCCAGTTTCTAAACTGTAATGGAAATGCGCCATAAAGTGAGCCAGTCCTAACGAGGCCCAGCCATACCGAGCGGGGCCGAGCGAGGCCGTGTAGTGGAAACGCGCCATTGGTGAGTTCCCTGGAACACCGGGGACACATATTCATGTACAAAAGTGCATTTTGCATGATAGGTCCCCTTTAAGTAAGAGTTAAAAATGTCGTCAAATACACTAATTTGCTCTTCTTCCAAGAGTTAGATGAACAAAACCACTTTTGTAAGCTAATTGGAAAGCCAGTTAGCTTAGCTTTAAGACTTGATACAAGGGAAAACATAGCCTGGCTCTGTCCAAAGGCCTCTAAATCTGCCTTCAAAAACCTCTAAAGATAATTACTTAACTTATAACATTACTACTGCTTTATGTGGGGTCGTGTTGGAGTTTTTCGTGAACAGAGGGTAACTCTTGTTTTGCAAAACTTGTAGGCCCATGACCTTTCCCATACATAAACATTTGAGTTTTAAGCAATTGTCATGAATTGTTATGCCATTTGAGTTTTATCATCTAGACACAATCTTTTACGAGGGGTTATACGCAGCACTATTTCTTGGCAGAGGATGCCATTCCTGAAGTTTCCGTTATTTCCAGCATCAGGGTGGAAGTCATTCTCGGCCAAGAAATAGTGCTGGGCATAACCACAAATAAACTGCAGCTCATCTTTGTTGTGCTTGTTTGTCTGCACGGATGTGATATTGCAAGCTCTTTCCTCCTTTAATGCTAAAATAAACTATACCCTGCTGGCAGAGGCTTTATCTTAAACAAAAGGAGGTGAGATTAGCATCACCCTTCTTATCCAATTTCCAGCAAGAAGGTGAATCAGCTTATTTCCCAAAAGTGTTGAAATCTTTTTTTTTTTTTAAACCTGAAAAAAGATTATCCCTTAAGATAATATGCTTTCGTCTTTCATCATGTGCATGTTCTTGCGAAGACATTGGCAAGCTGCACACTCAGACACCTCAAAGTTAAACAGCTCTGGCATGTAATGTTGAAGTGTTAGACATGTTGCAACTAGTGTGCAGGAACAGGTGATTCAAGTCATAATATCCTTGTTAGGTAGCGTGGAAAAGGTAGGACCCAAATGCAGACTACAAAAAGAGGTAACAGGTCTAGAAACAAAAATGAGCTTTATTTACAAAGCTGATGAGCAAAAAAGCATGGCATGGATAACATGGGTAGCACTAGGAATATACATCACCAAAAAACGATCGTGACCAACATGGAGGGAGACAGGAAAAACCAACAATGAACCGACAAGGCACACAGGGGAAGACAAGACTAAATACAGAGAGGGGTAATCACAAGACAAGACACAGCTGGGGTAAGGGAGGCAGAAACACAAGGGCAACAGGTGAACACAATCAGACAATCAGACACACCAGGGAAACTAACGACAGGAAGGCAAACACAGGAAGAAGGATCAGAGAAGACACAAGGAGGAAAACATTTCAAAACAAAGGTGGAAAATGAAAACATAAATTCAAAACCGTAACAATCCTACTCCTTACATTGGCTCTCATGCTTGTTTTTTTATCAGGAAACAGCCAGGTTTTTCAGAATGACTTGCAGCAGCTTTCAACCTTAGTGAGAGTGACATGAATGTGCTTCTTCTGTGGTTTTCTGTGAAGTGTGATGAAAAGTTAATCAGCAAAATGGTTAGAAGAAAGTGACAGCAAGTGCTATTTTAATAATAATGAAGAATACAAATATTCAAAGATGTTGGGACTGACGGAAAACGGTGATGCATTGCAGGCAACATAAGATGTTCTCCTTGTCAACACTGATATCTGATGATATTCCAAAGTCAAACTTTCCGTTTGGATTTGGGTAAGAAATTCTGATGTAAGAGTAGAATAACCAGCTAAAAATTATCAGTTTGAGGGATACATTTCAACATTATTCAATTTAAAATGTCAGATGAGTCAGAGTTGTCCTTGTCTACACTAATACAATACTTATTCCAAAGTCAAACACGACACTAGCTTTTGTTTTCAACGTCAAAACAAATGATGTATTTGTGTTATTGGGTGAGTAATGCTGATATAAGAGCATAGACAGGGAGCAGACAGAGAAGTGTTTTAGATAAGACAGTCCTTCCTTCTCACTTTGGGCCTGATGGGCAGAGCCCTGGGCGGTTTCAGCAGAGGTTTCAAAACCTCCCTCTACTTGCAGTTTAAATCCGAAGGGAAAACCTCTGAGGTGTCACTGTCCTGTGTGAAGGAGCACAGACGCAGCGATGGAGTTCCTCTCCGTGTTTGTCTCCGCGGTTTTAATCTGTGTCATCAGTGCTGCTGGGATCGCTCATGATGGAATACACTGGACATACACAGGTATTTGTATTGGTAGACATTTCAAATCCTTTATTATGATGTTTTATTTATCAAATCCATTTGTACTCCTAATTTAAACACCACATGTAACGTAAGTGCATGTGAGTTAAAGAGTTTTGATGCGTAAAACGTATCCAATGCGTATTTGTTTAGTATAGAAGTTGGTTAAACATTATATTATGCTATTTTTATTATTTAACATTCACGCGAGGCACTTGTCAGTTTGTTTAGAGTCGCGCACTGCATTGGCTAAATGTTTTGGATACGCACTAAGTCAACTTTACAGCGCGGGAGTACGAAATAACTTGGAGTGAATACTTTAGGGATAGGCACATGAACTGCCACAGTATCCAGTCGAACAAGTCGTGTGCTTGTCAATACCACCAACATGTGAACGGGATTCATATTGACAAAGAGTTAATATAGTGCAAAAGTTCGAAAACTCCCTGATGTAATATATCTCTGAGTGTATTTTAAAATATGGTGACGGTTTCTTCTTGATTTTATTTGCCACAGAGGGAGCTTTGGACCAGATGCACTGGCCAACCAAGTACCCATCATGTGGTGGGAAGAAGCAGTCCCCCATAGACATCCAGAGGCGCAGCGTGAGGCACAACCCAGACATGTTGCAACTGGAGCTGAACGGATATGATGCTCAGAGTGGGAATTTCCTCATGTCCAACAACGGGCACTCTGGTAAGAAAGTCCAGCATGAAGTCCAGCATTAACATTACTAACTCACTTATAAAGGACTAAACCACTGTTTTCATTCTGTTGTAGTTACTGAACTATGAGCCAATATGAGACTGCAGATAATTTCAATGTCAAGAATTTCAAACGTTTACTTTCCAGTGAGTAATTAATTTAGTTAATTTCTTTATGGTGTAAAACCCATTTAGCACATACTTAACACTTTACATCAAATATAGAAGTTTGGGGTAAATTATTTCAGTCCTTATGATCATTGTAGTGGATTACACAATTTAAAGAAGTCTTCAGAAATTAATAGAATCCAACTGCTGGAAGATCTGAAATACTAGCAGGGATCAACAGTTTTTGTATGCTTGCTCTGGTGTGCTTTGTTTAGTAAAACAGTTCCGTGATCTCAAAATCTGTATGTTTCCATCAGTTCAAATTGACCTGCCTCCAACCATGATGATCACCAAGGGCCTTCCAGGAAAGTACACGGCTGTCCAGATGCACCTGCACTGGGGCGGCTGGGACCTGGAGGCCAGCGGATCGGAGCACACTATAGACGGCATACGTTACATGGCGGAGGTAAACTTTATGAAAAAAAGAGTTCTGCTTGATAAACAAAGGCGGAGTACTAGATACTGACCTTTAAAGTCTTTAACACACAATGCATGCATCCTCCTCACAAAGCCGGCAATTCATCAAAAAGTAGTTTCTAATTATACTATGTACTTATACTTAACTGTTTAAGTAAACATAAAACCTTCAACTATGCATGGAAACTGTATTTACACAGGAGATTATTACACTGCCTAAAACAAATGTTTTACAAGGGATTATCCAAGTATTTAATGCCAATGTTGCATCAACAATATTATTATTTAAACTTCCATTATGTCAGCCTTGTAGTAACCTTCCAGTAGAAATGTTTCCAGTTACAAAGCAGGTCATCAGGCATGTTTTGGCACCTAACCTGTTTTACACTTTACCTTGTCTTTCAGCTCCATGTTGTCCATTATAATTCTGACAAGTACAAGAGCTTTACTGAAGCCAGAGATAAGACAGACGGGCTGGCAGTACTCGCATTTTTCTATGATGTAAGTAACTCACAAACATTTTTGTTCCCTTTCCTTTATGCTATGCTTTATCTTTTGTCAAAGGTCTATACGGATGCCTGCAGTATTTCGGATTTAAAAAAGCTCTGTCATAGTTGACATTTCTTTTAATTTGTAATGAATGAACAAACAACAAATGCCTCTTGATGTTTATGACACTTTGTTTCAGTCATCCTGCTGGGTTAAAGGCTCTATTGAGTGTTCATTTACAAGCTGACATATTGAAAGTTTTATTTATATATGTCGGCATGAGCTTGTTTCCAGAGGAATGCTCTGGATCGCAGACAGCCAGCGGCTCTCAGCTGCGAGAGGTCATCGCCGCAGCAACACCAGGGCTGGCATCTATCGTGATAGCAGCTCAGAGTGGCTGAGAGTTAAAGCTATTTGGACAAACTCATTTAGAAAACAATGATTCACTGACGTGGGTGTTAAAAGAAGGACAACGCTTAATTATACTCACTCAAAATAAGTCAGATTGGGCAACCAAAACAGCAGTCAGATGATCAGATTGGATTGGATGTTTTCTGAAGGGAGAAAATATGTGAACGATAAAACTATCAACTTCAAAATATTCATTACTGTTTACAGACACACATCCTGGTTCAACTTTGACTTTTTGTATCCTATATGTAACTTAAGCCTTTTGTTTTACAGAATAATCAAGCCTCCTTTCATTCTTTACACACTCACCATATTGTTTTGAGTGAACATCTAAGTTTGAGCTTTGATTTTACCTTCAGGACGGACATTTTGAGAACACGTACTACAGTGATTTCATCTCCAATCTGGACAATATCAAATATACAGGTGAGTGACTGCACACTTAATTGAATCGAACTTAAGTGTTTGAGTCTAATGGGATTTTAATGTGCTACTGACAGGTCAGTCCATGAACATATCAGGCATCGATGTGCGCTCCATGCTGCCCGAGAACCTCAACCATTTCTTTAGATACCAGGGCTCCCTCACCACGCCACCCTGCTACGAGAGCATCCTCTGGACTGTGTTTGATACTCCCATCACTCTGTCACATAACCAGGTACAGCGGATAGAAAGGGCTTCATTACTAAACAAAAAGTCACCAATAAAAGGAAATGCTCTGTGTTGTGATGTTTAAGCTTTCTTCTTTGTGTATTCAGATCAGAAAACTGGAGCACACACTGATGGACATCCACAACCAGACCCTGTGGAATGACTACCGCATGGCCCAGCCTCTCAACAGCCGAGTGGTGGAGTCTTCTTTCCTGCCACGCCTCGGGAAAGGAAGTATGTCCTTTATGACGGCAAAGTGATAAATCAAGAGAGCAATATAATTTATGTCTCAGAAAAAACGTGGGGCACGACTAAGGCCTGAGTCTAATCTTTATCTTCCTTATTCTCCTTTTGTTTCTTCAGCATTTTGTCGGCAAGACGAGATTGAATCCAGGCTGCTGAAGATCGAGGGTCTGATCACGTCCCTTGGAAAGCATATTCATACAGGTGAGTCACAAAGACTGATAGAGATGGCTGGATGTGAAATAAAAGTGCCCATATTTACTTTATTTCTTACTTATTCCTTTTAAGGTGGACTTCACAACCCTTCTAGGCATACTAGATTAGGTGAGTCCTTGTTTTCAGTCTGATTGAATTTGAGATCTAAATGTGTTTGTAACTGTGGATGGTTAAAGGGGGCACTTTTTCATTGCTTGTGCACATTTGGGTATACTCTGCGAAATAGGGCAACAAAGTCAGTGTTTTGTGGACTGACTTGGTCAGATTTGGGTCTCCCAAATTCAAGAGCAGGTTTTTAAAAAACACCACCCCCTACCTCTCCATCCGCAACCTTTGCAAAGTACGAGAAAGTATAAGGAGCATAATATATCTCCTTTAAAAGGTAGATGTTTATTTCCCATTTTTCTCAACTGCCAGTCTGATTTGAGTTGTTTCTGTTTTTCCTCAGAAACTCGAGCTCTGTTTCCTCTGGTGTTACACTTTCAGGGTGGCAGTTATGCTTTGGCTCGCCTCGGCCATCCCATGGAGCTCGACTTCTTCACAGTCTGCATGCACGTGCTGCCTCAGCTCGAGGGAGTCCACACCGTCATCTCCTACTCCAGCAACGGCAACGACAACGAGCTGACCATCTCCATCGTTGAGGACAGGGATTCGAGAGAAGTAGGCCTCTGGATTGGCAACGAGTTTGTCAACCTGCCACACAACGTCAAGTCACACAAATGGGCCAACTACTGCATCACCTGGTCCTCTCTCACCGGGGGAGCAGAGCTGTGGATCAATGGAATGGTGGGGGAGCAGCGGTACCTAAAGAACGGTTACACCATCAGCCCTGGCGGTGTGTTCATCGTGGGCAAAGACCAGGACGGATTACTGGGCATCTCCAACGCAGACGCCTTTGTGGGTAAGATGACAGACATCAACGTGTGGGACTATGTGCTGACCACGGCAGATATCCGAGACCAGCTGTCATGTGAGACAAACGGCACCGTGATGGGAAATGTGTTCAGCTGGGGAACCACCGAGCTCAGTCTGTTTGGAGGCGTGCAGCTGGACAGTCAGTACAGATGCTGAAGAGCTTCTCTTCGCTTTAAAGTTCTGCAATAAACCAAAATATAAGTGCTGATGTAGGGGAATAAAGTGTCTATATGTACTGAAGGTTAAAATGTCTTTCAGGGAACTGTAAGTCAATATTTAATGCAAACTGCATCTTATAACTTTGGCCATGCATTGTATTCATATGTTTGCATCTTCAATAAAGGCTTAAAAGTGACTCGCTGGTTTGTTTAATGACTCAAGTTCACATTCACACCTTTAAAAGGCTGCATGTTATCAAGTTCTACTATATTTTTAGCAATTGAATTACACGAGGATCTTAGTATAACTTGTAGCATTGATGAATTACTTACAATAAAAAGAAAAACAGCAGGTGTATTTTAATGCATGATTCATTCCAAAAACCTTGAAAAAACTTCAAATCAATCACACCTGCTAAGGTAAGAATAACAAATCATATAGGATAATAGATGGAAGGCACTCATGTTATGCGAGTGCACCCTATGTATTCAATATAGCCTACTTGCCTGTTGTCTTTATATTTATATTTAGAATAAGCTTAACATCAATATAAGTTAGTTGTAATAATATATAGTTATAACTCCATTATTACTCCACTGTAGAACATCCTATTGTTAAAAATACGATTGCTCAACATAAAGGACACTTTATTTTATTCAGGTGTTTTCTGCATGGCCACCAGGAATGCATAATAGTGGCTATAAAACAGAGGGTCGAGGTCATGAATAAACCTTTTTGCCTCTTCATTATCTTTCTTCTTGTTTGCTTTATTATCTTGTTTGTCCTTGTTAAGATCTGAATGTTCTGTAAAGAAATAAAAAAAGCCACAACAGCCATGGAAAAACTATAAACAAATAGAGTATGTAAAGATCCCTTGTGAAATAGAAAAGACACTAAATTAAGACGTATCCATTCCATTTGAATCCTCCCCAGGGTGTAGACTTCCTCTCCCCTGAATGGTCTCATTTATCTTCAGAATGCCGTGACCCTTGCTGCATCCTCCAGACTTTCTTTACCCTCTGTCAGAGGCAGATCCCCATCACCTAGTTTGATCTCCACTTTGTTCCTCTTGGCAAACATTTGGCAGTTCTCCAGGAAGGTCTTGTTCTTTGTCTCTGGGACCACAAGCCAGATGTAGATCAGCGTGACCAGGCAGATGAAGGCAAAAATGATGAAGCTGTATGAGCCCAGACCTCTCTGGAGGAAGAGAAAGAGAGAGGAAATGTGATCAGTGTGTCCTCACGATGAAACGTTGTGAATATGTTAGGACAAAAACAGTTGGTTGGACATAAACAGCATCCAAGGTGCGGTAAAGTGCGCCTTGCACGCTCATTTGGTTGGACTGCACTTTCTCTGGTTTCTGTTTCTCGAACAAATCCTCCACTGTTTGCATTGTGGTTTGCAGATGAAGTCTTGAGACATGCATAATGGTTGTGTTTATCTCTTAAGATTACACAACTCAGTTTATTGGAAAACACACAATGACAATTGAAAATGCCCTGAAATAAGAGTGACTAATGCTACTTCTGATAGCAGAGCATCACACCTAGTAATAGTTACATATTTGACTATGATTGGCTTGTGAACTTGTTCAGTCAAAATACTATATCTCTGTGTTGCACTGCTATTAAAGGAGACCGCAGAAACATTTCTTCTTCAACAGATAGATGTGAAAAAAGCTTTTAGCGTCAAACTCCGCACATAAATCATTATGCACAGTGAAGCTCAAACATACAAGTGAAGTTACAATAACCAAAACATATTGTTGAGTGGAGTGGGACTGGAACTAGTAAACATCAATCTTTGTAATGTGTTTACAGAGGAGACATTTCTGATAATATGGATTCTTAAAATACTGTTTTCAGATACATTTAAAATTGAGTACTCATTTCCAGATTGTACAAACCTTCTGTTCTCTTGATGAAAATGACTTATTTTGGCAACAACGTTTTCTTTTTCCACTTTTCACTGGATCCTCTTAATACTCAGACATTACATTATGTCAGTAAAACTCTTGTATCTGTCTCCTTTAAACATTAAGCTACAGCCAATAGACATTTAGCTTAGCTTAGCATAGCATAGCATAAAGACAGGGAAAATAGCTAGTCTGCTAACAAAGGCAATACAATTGGCCTTCCTGCATCATGAATGTAAGCAGCTAACATGTTTTATTATATCTTGTTTGTTTAATATGTACAAAAAATAGATAACAATGTTTAAATGACAATTAGTGATTATGGACAATACTATTTTGTGTCCAGGATCAGTGTACCTACTGGCAACCTCATGGTAAATACAAGACTGTTTCAACAATGTTTTCATGTTTTTAGTTGTAACCTTTATTTATTCAGGTATCTCTGGCCACTGAGCAGCTTCACTGGATTTAAGGGTTAGTGCAGTCCAGTAACAGTGGATTGATCTCCGTTTGTATTCCCCAAAATGTTGAACTGTATTTTCTTTTCTCATTTTAAATGGTGTATTGTTTCAGATGTTTGTTTCATGTTTGACTGGTTGTGTCAATTCTATTATAACAATGATATTGTTTCATATTGTGAGTTTGGTGCTTGAAGAAGGTCTATGACCAAAACGTAGCATTTCATCCACTCAATGCTAACAGTGTTTCTTTTGTTTGGAGGTATTAAAAGTGTGTCTGCCAATCCAGACAGCCCTTCATTCCAATATTCAGTAAAGTAGTGTATCAATGATCATATCACTGTCAGGAAGTGACCTGGAATGCCTTTTTGTTTACACCTAAACATCTGTAACTAATTACATTTCAAAACAACAAACTTCCTTCCCTCCAACGCAGGAGACATTGTGTAACTGACCTCAAGGAAGGGGAAGACAAGGCCAACAGTGAAGTTGGAGAGCCAGTGGACGGAGCCTGCGACCATGAAGGCAGCGGGCCGGGCCGACTGCCTGAACATCTCGGTGGTCACCACAGTAGGAATGGAACCTGGAGGGAACAGATGTGGTTAACCACAACACAAACACTCGAGACACGTCATCACTCTTCAGGGTCACAGCGTGGGGAGGTCATGCCTGAGTGCCGATTTGCAACCTGTATCATTACATGTCTGAGCACATCTAAACAACACTTCAGCTAATGGACAACTGTTATAATCAGGGGGTGTGTAAATAACCATCGCCGGGTCAGACTCACTGGGTCCTATGGCGTGTCCTATAACGTAGATGATGACACAGGCGATGCTGCCGTAAGACATCCACGTCACGCTCTCCTGTCAACACAAAGCAGCAGCTGCAGTTATTATTAACAGGACATCATGATGCTTTTAAACAGGAACATATGTGTAACAAAATCCTGCTAATGGCTGCATTGTGTGGGAAGATTTAAACAGACAGCTGAAAGTGAGGCCTGTCTGATTTTTAATCCAGGTGAGATCACACCGCTGGCTTTGTGGTTGTCTGATGGTCTGTGTTTCCTCATACTTCACTGGTGGGTGACTGTTTTTATGTCCTTAAAGTTCTCATGACCCCAGCAAATAAACATGTCAAGTCAGCACATTTATCTTCCAGACCAACATCCAAAAGGGTAATATATTAAAATGATACACCAGTGCAGTGATCATCGTAGCACAGTGACGCACATCCTGCTGTGTTGGCTTTGAATTCCGGCACTCTGGACCACGAGGCTAAACTGCTGATTTTCTTTTTTTTAAGTTATTCAAAATGCACTTTAAAATATAGATCGATACATTTGAACAAAATCAATTACTCGAGCCTATTGCACCACCACTGAGTCTGAATGAGACATGTCAAAACACATGTTAAATAGTAAGCATGATTTATAAACACACAAAGAATACAAATAACATAGATGGTGGACTTAAATCCAATAAAAAGAGGTGTGTCTTATTTGTCCACTATACTAATAATATCTGGTATGGATTTTGAGTCACTGTGCCACATGATATGGAAGCTTTTGAAAAACAAATCATTAAAAAAAGAAGGTGCATTAAAATTCAATAAAAAGAGATGTGTCATACCCGTCTAGTGTAGTCATGCATTGATTTAGAGTAAACTGGTCACATGATATGGAAGCTATTGAAGAGAAATGAGATGGATCAATAAATAAACCGCTACAGTTTCTCTTTACCTCAGTTTGTCCATGAATAAGTAAACAGACGACTACTGACTTACATTAAGTGACTTAACTGTTCTGTTTTAACTGTACTTTCCAATACAGGACAAGGCTATTTAGCGGACGGGGGTTGCTCTGTAAACATAGCGGCGTGTGCTCAAGTCTTCAACGTGCCCTCTTCTGTCAGATTTTTTAAAAACAGTTTTAATCTTTTTCAAGAATCCCAAATTAACCTCTTCTAAAAATCTCCTATGATTCACATGTCTCCCGACCTCAAGGTCCTTTATAGAGAAACTCTGCTGATTATATATGTGTATGGTGAACCACTAGAGGACAGCAGAGTTACATGTTGAGGCTGTGAGACACTGAAGGTTTCTGATGGTTCATTTTAAACTGTACATCTATGATGGTACCTGGAAGTTGAGAGCGACAGTGAGCAGCACACAGGCCCCACAGCAGATCCCAAAGCCACAGAGGAGGAGCACCCGTCGCCCCGCGGCCTCCACGATGAAGACCTGGTGAGACAAATTCCCTGTTCATAACTATAATCATCTACTCTGATAAGATCAAACGACAGATATCACAGGGTACCTACAGCAGCGATGGTCATGAAGACATTCACTGCACCTGTTCCCACGGTGACGTACTGGATGACGTCCTGCTTCACACCTGCATTGGCATATATGCTGTCTGCATAGTAGTAGATCTGAGGGAGGGAGAAATGCATGTAACACTTTATATAATGTCATTTAAATAATGCATTACAAACATACTCATAGCATAAGTATAGTTATAAGCACTCATAAATGTCCAAAATGTTTATAAAATAATCATTATAAACAAGTCAAGTATTTTATAATGACTTATACGATCCAGTATCATAATTGCTCATATTTTTTGTAATTATCACAGCTTACAATAGGTCCCATTGTAATGATTTAAACACATTCTAATGCATTTTAATTACTGTTATATTACATTTTAATAGGATTATACATTATAAGTCGTCATGGGATCCTTTAGGTGAAGTAATGAAATTCCTGAGTTACAGACGGATTTAGTACATAACAAGTTGGTCATAGCACTGTAAGTGG